TTCCAAGGAACAAAGGAACAGATTCGATGTGAAAGTTGATGAAGGTATCTTACTGGGGTATTCTCTAACTTCTAAAGCATATCGGGTTCTCAACAAAAGATAAAAAAGGATTGAAGAGACCTACTATGTTACTTTCGGCAATAATTACATGAAGAAGTTTAAGAAGAATGACAGTCCAACGAAGGAGATCTTTCCAAAACTGAATCATGCTACCATCCCGCTTTCCCATCTTTACGAGGAGTTCATGAACCTAGTCGATGAGCAAGAAAAGGCTATCTCTTCAGAGTCCGAAGCAGCAGACAACAAGGAAGATGAATTGTAGAAAATCAATGATGATGCTGCGAAAGAAATGGAAAAGGAAAACATCACTATGAAAGATCTTGACATTCCAGATCTACCTACAGATACAAATGTTACATCACAGGGGGAGGGTTATACATCAACCTCCACATCTGATAGACCTGTTCAGGGGGAGAATGAAACCGCTGATGTCTGTTTTGAACCACCTTCCCAGGGGCAGAATCCGAATCCAGAAGCTGACAATCATACATCATTCGAGGGGGAGAATGGAAATACGAATGATGATTCAGATGTACAATTAGAATTTGAAGAAGTGAATGTGGAATTGAATCCATCATATGATCCAAACTACCCTCCATTAGCTAAATAGACCAAAGATCATCCAAAAACTCAAGTCATTGGAGATTCGTCTTTAGGCATTCTTACGAGAGTTCAACAAAAGGCAAAGCAAACTACACTATTCTCTAATGTGGAATTTCCATGTTCAATTCGTTATTCTCCAAGACCGAACCTAAAATTGTTCAGATTGCTCTTGATCATTCTGATTGTGTGCAAGAAATACAGGAGGAGCTGAATGAGTACGAACGAAACAAGTTTTGGAGACTTATTCCCACTCCAAAAGATGCATCTGTTGTTGGTCTCAAATGGGTATTTTTCAACAAGTTAGACAAAGAAGGTAAAATCATAAGAAAAAAGGCATGATTGGTTGTCAAGGGGTATTTCCAGTAAGAAGGCATCGACTATGAACAAACCTTTGCACCCGTTGCAAGGTTGGAATTTGTTCGTATCTTCTTGTCTTATGCAGCGCAGAAGAACTTCGAAGTATACCTGATGGATGTCAAATGTGCATTATTAAATGGGGAACATAAAGAGACAATGTATGTGGAACAACCACCTGGGTTTATAAACATAAAATATCCCAACCATTGCTATATTCTGGACAAATCGGTCTATGGTCTGAAGCATGCTCTAAGGGCCTGGTACGAAGCTCTTACTCGTTTTTTTAATACAAGCTAAGTTTAAACAAGGTTCGGTCGAACCAACTTGCTTTCGCATGAAATAGGGTGACCACTGGATGATCATCCAAATCTATGTTCATGACAACATTTTCAAATCAACAGACCCAAGCTTAACTGCTGAGTTCCACAAATTGATGGAAACGAAGTTTGAGATGAGCTCCGTGGGTCCGATTAACTTTTTCGTTGGCTTAAACATAAGGCAAAGTCAGGAAGGAATCTTCATAAATCAGGAAGCTTACACGAAGACCTTGTTACTAAGTTTGGAATGGTGGGAGACTCAAAGGTGAAGGTTCTAATGGCATTTAGAACGAAACTAACTCCATCTCTAGAAAAACCGGCTGTGGATATGACACTTTATCGTCAAATGATAGGTTTGCTAATGTATCTAACAGTTAGTCGACTAGATATCATGTTTTCCGTTTATTATTGCGCTTGGTTTCAACCTAATCCTCGAGAACCTCACATGACCGATGTCAAGAACATATTCAGATATCTTAAATGAACATCTTCACTTCGAATATGGTACCCCTCAAACTTTGGATTCTTTGTGCAAGCATTTTCAGATGCTGATCTTGGAGGATGTGGGGTAGATAGAAAGAGTACAACTAGAGGATGCCAATTTCTGCATGGAAAACTTGACAATTGGAAATCCAAATCAAACCTTTGTTTCCTGATCAACAGCAGTAGTCGGGTACATTGTTGCTGCCTCTTGCACTTCCCAGGTCATATGGATTTAAATTCAACTTCGTTATTATGGACTAAACATGTAACGAATCCCACTATATTGTGACTCTGAAAGTGTCATTCACATTTTTCACAACCTAGTGCAATACTCAAAGATGAAACATATAGGACTGAGGTATCACTTCATCAAAGATCATGTGGAAGATGGTAATGTTAAGATACATTTCGTTAGATCTGTGGATCAATTAGGTGTCATTTTCATAAAAGACCTACGAATCTACATTTAATCATATTCTTCAAGGCTTGAGAATGATGGAAGCTAAGTCAGTTCAAAAACCACTTTTGCTTTCAAAGTGGCACTTTTGCTTTTAGTTACTCTTTCGCATTCACAGTCTATAGTATGTCATGCGATCTGGTGTGGACGCTCGCAGAAATTCGCAATAATTCATTACCCTCTTTTATCTTGCGAAAGACCGCAGTGTCTCACGATCAACTGTTCACTCGTGGTTTGGAGCTTTTTATATCCTTTTGTATATTTCGTATTTATGTTCAAAAATACAAAAATATATCATTTTTGTTTTTATTTCTTTTTAGAAAATCAAAATTAAAAAAATATTTTCTTTACTTTCTTTTCTTTTATTTTACTTATTTCAAAATACCAAAAATACTACATAATTGAGTAGGTTTCATGTCATGAATGTTGGTGTTCTCAATTACAAATGATGGGGCGGGTATAAACTTTTTTTATCTATGTACTAGTTCAGTGTCCCTAGAAGCATGATGATGCATGTTGTCTTAAACCTCAATGACTCTATGTTGAAGCCTTAATGATTCGAAAACACCGATCGTTTCTTCCCAATTAGGTTGTTAAATCACATAAGTATCGAGCTACTTTACTATTCTCTTTATGATTTATGAGTTCACTGCTTGGTCGCTTTCACGTAGCAGAGGTACACTATTTTCTTTCGAACCACCTCATACTATTCTCCATCACTTTCACATTCACCAATGTAATCCTCAAGACTCTCAAATATTACCACTGAGGTTTATGGTTACACAACTTCTATGTTTATGATCTTCCATTCATTTTCACCACAAATTGAGTGAAACCCAAAATCAAACTCACTTATATGAATTGACGGTGAATAATATATATGTTCTATACTTTTCACCAAGGAATTAACAAAACTCCACTTTCGTGTTCTGTACAGAGAAATCTCTTTTTCTTTTGCGGGGTCTTAATGAAATGTTCTAGACATAAGACATTTCTACACAATAGATCCAGTTTCTATTTTTTCTTGAAATTTCTATGTGAATCCCGGTCACTTAAAATAATTCCAAAGCTTACTTGTTCACTTAAACACACTGGTTATACAAGTACTTCATTCGAACTTTCAGACTTATATCAAGTTTCGTAGTTTTTTTGGAGATAGAACCACCCAATAAAACCTTTTAAAAGATACCTTTCACTGTTTCTGAACAAAAAAGTGATCGTAGTTCAACGGGAAACCACACAAACACTTCTTAGCCTCACTTGAATTTGAAGGGAGAGATCTTTGCCAAAGATCCACTGCTTTGTGTCTTTACAAGACATCACTAATATCGCACAGAAATTTGATGTATTTATTTATCTTTGGCACTCTCTTGGACGAAGATTCTTGTGATTTTCCAAAGTTTGGTTTGTGGTACTCACGATTACTTTCAGTTTTGCAGATCAATTGATAATGTTTCACTGCGAAGGTTCATATCTACATTGGATATGAAAGGTGCTTATCAGGATAAACTTCAAACGACAAGAACTAAACCAATTGCGAAAGGGTGGAGCTGACGCGACAATTTCTCATGGATAAGAATTCAAATATGCATGTGGAATTTCAAATGACACCTACTTTTCCGCCACCTGACACGCTTGCCTGGCATAACAGTTTTCAATCACGCCTTTTTAGGTGACTTTTTAGTAAATGATACACCGTACGTTAGGATTTCTCTCATCAAACAAACTATATAAAGGGATTTTGGCGATTCAATGCTTATTACTACTTTTAAAACCCTCAAAGAGTTCTAGTGATTAAAGCACTCTATTGTTCATCTTCTTTACCAAGAAATCAATAATGGCAGGTTCTTCAGAAACCCCTTCTATTCAAGATCAATATGCACAGTTGTCGCTTCTTACAATCAAGCCCAATCAAAACTTGATTCTCGATCTTGATCCTATCAAGTATGACAACTACATGATACCTATTGTCGAGTGCTTGAAATATTCTCCTTTAGTCAAAGCTTTGACCACATCAGAGATTGTTCCGATGTCTCTCTTATCAAAAGCTTATTTATCTACTTGTTATATCAAGGAGGAAAAAAGAATCACCTTTGAAGTTCACAACAAGAAATCCTCAATCACCAAATCCTAATTTTGCTCCTTACTAGAGCTTAATCATAATGATGATATGATTAAACCTGATTCCGTCTCCATCACAACCATCATGGAGATGTTTTACCAAATGGGGTACAAAGAAACCCTAACTACCATCTCTAAATTCAGGAAAGCCAATCTGCCACCTCAATGGAATGGGCTTTTTACCCTTTTATTTAAAGGTTTTTCTGAGCGTGTGACTGGCTCCTATTGTACCAGTAAATTATTCATGACAATCATGTATGGGATCTACACGGGGGTCAACACTGATTGGGGCTGTTCTTTGGGATCGACCGGTACAAAGTGCCCATTCTACAACCCGGCACAGTGAAATTTCTTGTGCTTGCTTTTGGACTATCTTCATTCAAAAGGAAATTGAAAAGCTCTAGATTTCGGTGATGCAAGATTCCTTCATGTCTGCCATTTCAATCGTCCACGCTACATACATCATTCTTGTAAACACCCCAAAGTTCTCATTCGTTGGCTCCATTCCTAAAGCCATGTTTCGTGATGTCCCTGCATCAAGCAAGATTCTTGAGGCTTACAAAAAAATTCCAGTTTCAGGCTTTCTTACTTTAACTCCTGAGATGTTGTTCGTAATTGATGAAGCTGACAACCAAAGAAAGGAGGATAGAAAGGGCATAAGAAAGGAGCAAAGAAACAAGGTGCTCCAAAGGGTCCGTCTGAACCCGCTCAAACCCCAAAAATGAAAGGCACACATTGGCTCATCTGCACCAGCTCCAACTCCAACAAATAAGCAAAAGATAACGAAGGTCTCTTGCATGCCCCAAACTCCAACTCCAAGTCAAAGCGAAGGTTAGCAACTGCCACTCACTCTACAAAAGATGAGCCTGTACAACATGAATACACCGCAACAACTTCACATCCTGAGGTTTTGCAACCCATTTCTACGAATCCAGAGGTAACCTTTAAGATTCCTGTCTCACTTCCTATTCTCAATGATTTTTTTGAAGATGTCTCTATTCCCTCTCCTACTACTGCTATTTCAACACCTATCTCCATTGCCCCATGCCCACCTATTTCGTTGGGCATTTCTCAATCCCCACCTCCTATTTTCACCGATTCTACTAACACACCAACAACCACGGTTGAACCTCCTGTCACTGTGAACACATCTGATGTGGGGCAAGGGATTCAGGTTTCACTATTGCTTCTTTTACCCTAGCCATATCTCCTTTCCACCAGGATAATCCAAACATTATATTTGGTGGTGATGATGATGACTTCGCAGGATTCACTTACAATCCTTTTAACATTTGGATTGAAAGTGATGACGAAGCTCCTATCACATGAAAGTAACTCAAGGTGATAAATGATAAACTTGATTCATTGCTTCAATCATCTAAGGATCCCTCTACTGAAGATTATTCACAAGCGACAATTTAATCGTTCCTTGAGACCCTTACGAAAGAGTCTTCCGCCAATCTTGAATAGACGAACAAGGCGGTAGATACATCTACTTTTGTGTGCAACCAAACGACCGAAAAAGTCGATAAACTAATTATAGATGCTTGTGCGTTCATGGAGAAATTCCAAAGCTCATTTGAGTACAACATCGTGAAGGCTAATGAGGTTATTTCTAGCCTGGGCTCAACTCTTAAAATTGAGAAGGTGAAACTTGAAGAGGTTCACACTGGTCTTTTATCTGACCATATTGAGTTCAGTTACTCCATTTCCTAGAAGTTCACAAAGCTTCAGGATGACTTAGCAATGGAGAGAAAAATCATGGATGCAATTGCTGCAAAGACTAAAAAGGTGAAAGTCTTGACAGTCAAATAGATGATTCTAAAAAAAACGAGTCAAAGATTTATTATCTGAGAAAGCAACTGTGAAGAGTTGTATAGCAGATGTTAATGGACTACTTTATGATATTATTGAAACTTGTGACTCAATGATCATGGTCAAGAAGCATCTTTCAGAGAAACTCGGGCCAGTTTTTGCTATGCTCAATCGCCTGGAGAGTGTTCCGAAATTTGGCTCAATTCTGAAACAAGTGGGAGAAGAAGGTAAACAATCTAAAAAGGAAAATCCCAAGTTTTCTGTTAAACCTACTATCAACCCCAAAAGCAAATATGAACCAAAAGGCAAGAAAATCATTTTAGTGAAGAACCTATTATCAATAACAGCAAGGATGAAGAGCCTGATGAGAATGAGCTAAAAAGAAGAAAGGCACGTTAAGCTTAGATAGATGAACATCAGAGAATTGTTCGTGAAGCTGAAGAAAAAGAAAAGGTAGAATGCGAAGCTCACTTCGCACTGGAAAGCCAAAAGCACTTGTTTCCAGTGTGGACCTTGAAGCGAATCCTGAATGAAGTTGTTGATATGCCAAGTCAGTATTGCTTGGAAACAGTTGTGTCACTCGAACTTCAAAATTCACAAGATTCGCAGCACCACCTTCCAATTTCTCTAAAAGCTTTCAGGTTTCGCAGCTTTGTGTAATCTACGAATGCCCCTGTGATAGACATTGGTGTTGATCACTTAATCCTCTCCTTCTACCTAAAGAATATGAAGACACAATATGAGACGTGGAGTGCGAGAAAGATTATGGCTGTGAACATCACTGGTCCAATCGAAACAACAAGCTTCCCAAATGCAACGTTTAAGGTTTCAAGAGGTTCGTCCAGTCAATTCTGCAAATTCACACTCACTGATCTGCCATGCCTTAACCTATATGATTGGATCATGCTTTATAGCTTTTTATAGAGGGATTGTCAGAAGTATGAGCCTGTCATTGCTCACCTCAAGCAAATGATAATTTATTACATTTATGAGGTTGGGTAGATAAATGTTGAAATTGTTGTCGTGTTGCGAAGGAAGCCAAATGTACTCCCCAAATATAACCCTTAAGGTTTTGACAATATAAACTTTGGGATACAAAAAGAATGAATGGTGCGTGGCCTTTCAACTGAAGGTGCGAAATGATGTAGAATTTCAGAAACTTTGTTTGTTTCTCGACGAAAAACATTTATACACCACTTTGTGTCTTAATTATATTTTGCACTTCGTCAACAAGCATAGGGGTAACAACAAAGGTGACAAGAAGTGCTTCTCGGATATGATTCAATTGTATATCCAAGTTTTCAAGGTTCTGATGAGCGTCATTCGAAAAGTTTTTGAAGTGCAGAAGAAAACCCATCCATGAAGTACCCTCGCCTCAATCGATGCAAAGTGGGAGATTGTTAAGTATTTTGGTGTTGCGTCTTTTGGGCATTTTGTATTGTACTTTGTACATCGAGCTTGATCCTGTCCACCTGTGTTTAATCATTAGGGTAATACTATTTAAGGTGCATGTATGCATCGTGGACTAGGGATGGTATCATTGTAAACCATTCACAACCTCTACAGTAGCAGTTCTTCATCAAGCTCTTCTGAGGCTGCGACTTTTAATCATTTGACATATTGTTGATTCATATTCTATTCTTTATTGTTTTTAGTTGTTTGAATCTTATCCATCTTAAGAGTTTTTAATTCATCATAGGGGATCTTCTCTTGTTACCAAGATTGGAGTTTATAGTTTAGTGTTTAGTAGTGGAGTTTGTTTAGATTTAATAAATTATTGCTACTCTTCATAAATGACATGAAACATTATTTCTTTTCATGTATTGTTTAGACAACGTTTTAGATATTCATTTAATGATATGAATGGTTCTATTTCTGCTTATAAAAATGGTGTTTTAATATTTGGAGCTTCACCTTGTGATGGTGTGTATGAAGCTGTGATGTGTGTTGATAATTTATGTAATAATGTTTTACGCGTTGATTCCTTCAATGGTGTAGACAAAGCGTGCTTGTGGCATTTTCTTCTTAGATACATTAACAAGAAATGCATCACCCAACTCCCAAAAGGATGGAGGGTTGGAATCATTTTACCTAAGTTCAGATGATACATGTGAATCTTGTCTTTTAGGATAGACGAAAAAATCACCTTTCACGTGATCTTGTGAAAGAGGTGAAGGTTTTTTTGATCTCATACATACATATGTGTGTGGACCCTTCAGATCATCCACAAGGGATGTTAATTGATATTTTGTGATTTTAATAGATGATTATAATAGATATGGTTATATCTACTTAATCACGGATAAGTCAGAAACCTTTGAAAAGTTCAAAGAGTTTAGACATGAAGTCAAGAATCAGTTGGGCATGAAGATAAAGGTACTTAGATACGATAGAGGTGGATAGTATCTTAGTATCGATTTCAACAACTATCTAAAGGAATGTTGAATAGTTTCACAATTGACTCCTCCTAGGACACTACAATTAAATAGTGTAAGTGAGAGGCATAATCGAACCTTGTTAAACAGGGTTTGTTCCATGATGAGTTGTGCTTCATTTTCTATTCACTTATGGGGGTATGACTTAGAGAAAGTTGCTCACATCCTCAATGTTCTCCCTACAAAGAAGGTTTCCAAAACACCTCACGAGATGTGAATGGGGAAAGTTCCCTTGTTAGCACATATCGAAGTCTGGGGTTGTGAAGATTTCATGAGACAAGAGACCCATGACAAGCTAGCAACTAGTAGTGAGAAGTGTATTTTCATTGGTTAACCAAAGCAGTCATTTGGATATTTGTTCTACAGACCTAGTGAGAACATGGTCTTTATAGCACGAAGAGGATTCTTTTGAGAGAAAGAGATCATATTTAAAAAGGATAGTGGGAGTACCATTAACCTTGAACATATTCAAGAGTTAACCAGTGAAGGAACCTCAAATGATACCAAAACTTAATAAGAGGAAGAGGGTCCTGTTGAGCCAATAGACAAGTCATTACCTCTTAGAAGTTCAAGTAGAGTTAGCATGTCACCTGAGTTTTATGGCTTCCATATTACTAAAGATTATGAGATGTTTTTCAATGATAGGGCACTGATAATTTTGGATGAGCTAGCTAGCTACAAGGAAGCAATGACAGGTCTTGAGGCTGCTAAATGGAAAGAGGCAATCGATAGTGAGATCAAGCCCATATATGACAAACAAGTTTGGAATTTGATTGATAATGTAGCAAGTTGAAAGATAGTTGGGTGTAAATGGATCTTTAAGAAGAAAACCAACATGGATGGAAAGGTACACACTTTCAAGGCTCGGCTGATTGCAAAGGGCTTCACTAAAACCCAATGCGTTAACTATGATGTGACCTTTTCACCAGTAGCCAAGATAAAATTTGTTAGTGTAATGCTCACCATAGCTACCTTTCATGACTATGAAATTGGTTAGATGGATGTCAAAACCACTTTCCTTAAAAGGAAATTTGTTGAAGATGTTTATGTAGGTCAGCCAGAGGGTTTTGTAGATGCATAGTTTCCAAATATAGTGTGTGAACTTGAGAAATCCATCTATGGATTGAAACAAGCATCTCAAAGTTGCAATATTTTCTTCCATGAGAAAGTCAAAGAGTTTAGTTTCTCTAGAAGTGAAGATGAGTCATGTGTGTATATCGAGTCTAGTGGAAGTATAGTGACTTTTCTACCATTGTATGTCGATGACATTCTACTCATGGAAAACAACATTCCTACTTTGCAAGTTTTTAAGTCTTGGCTTGGAAAGTGTTTTTCCATGAAAGACCTTAGAGAAGGAGCCTATATTATCAAGATATAAATCTTGAGAGATATAAAAAAGAGACTAATTGGACTTAGTTAAAGTACTATAGAAGTTTAGTATGGAAAATTCCAAGAACGGAGAGCTACCTATCCAGAGCAATACCAAATTGAGTAAGACTTAAATCCCTAGTATAGACGAAGAGATTGTTGATATGAGTCGCGTACCTTACACTTTGATTGTAGGGTTGATCATGTATGTTATGACATGTACTTTCCATGATGTGTCATTTTCCTTGACCATGTTCAATTTCTACCAGGGAAATCCCAGTAAAGCTTAATGGATAACGGTTAAGAACATTATCAAGTATTTGCGGAGTGCGAAGGACATGATTCTAGTCCTTAGTGGTAGTGATACTTTGAGAGTGATTGGGTACAGTGTTTCCCGCTTTCAGATAGAAAGAGAAAACTTTAACTCTCATTCTGGTTGGGTGTTCATTTTAAACGGTGGAGCAGTGACTTGGAAGAATTCCAAACAGGACATGGTTGTTGATTCAACCTGCGAATCAAAGTACATAGTTGCAAGTGAAGCATAAAAGGTAGCGTCTTGGATGACGAACTTCATCGGTTACCTCAAAGTTGTCCTGACCGTTTAAGAGCTAATGAAACTTTTATGCGATAATGAACAAGCGGTTGACAGACCAAGGAACCAAGAGATCAAGGAAAGTTTAGAAATATCGACAGAAAGTACCATTACATTAGAAATAGAGTAGAAGAAGGTCAACTCATAGAGGGTATCATCAGAAGAGAATCCTACAGATCCTTTATCGAAGGCTCTGAGTAGGGTCAATAACAATCGGCATGCTAGGAGCATTGGTCTGAGAGATGATATTAGTTTTAGTAGTTATATAATTAGTTTGAAACTTGTAACAAAATAAATGTAATTGATTTTTGGGGATTAAATAATGGATAATTATTTTTGAGTTTGTTTACTGCCTTTTGTCAATTGTTTTTTATTATGTTTCGTTTTGCATGTTTTACTTTACAAAAAATATGATTATTCATATTCCACAGTTGGTACTACTTTTGGAATTAAGTAGTTAATTAATACTTTTATGAGTTTGATTCTAGATTTCCTAAGGGAGTTAGACATAGCAATAGTATTGTTGCAATGTTCATGACTACCTAGAGCACTTACAGCTTTCATGGAGCACTTGTTGAACATGGAGCACTTGCATTTGACAAGGAGCACTTGAAGAAAGCTATTTGAACCATTATGATCTCAGATGGCACGTGTAGATCATATGTGGAGCATCAAGATATTGGTGGATCATGTGGAATATTGATGGCTTATTAGAAACATTGTTGGCTTATCCACAACTCAATGGCTCAACAAGACGTTGATGGATCAACATTAATACTTGGTGGCTTATCTCAAGTCAATGGATCGATGTGATCACATTGATTGCTAACCAAGATTGAACATGGCACATCATGTATAATGATATCACGTCCAATTTCTCAATGATACATACATTTTGTTCATGGTGCATCACGAACACGTAGTTGTATATCTTCACCTTCAAGATGCATTCGAACATTCATGAAACAACACAACTTGAACAACGACACTTTTAGAAGTTGATAACATTCTAGAAGACAATGGAGCAACATGATGATCATGCCGCTCATCACATTTTTAATGTTGATTAAGAAGGATCAAGGGATATGAAGACTCAAAACTTGGATGGAACCCTAACGGAATACTAACGGAATTGGAATATTCCATCCATTCTCTGTTAAGTAGGGAAAAGGTGTCAAGTGATGACTAAGTCATGATGACGTGTCAACACCTGATTGGTCAAGCCATGTCATGGGATTTTCTAAATCCTAAAAACGGGCCCCTTGTGATCCATTATAAAGTTACTCATTCACTACTTCTTCTAACTCATTTATGCACATTTGTTGTTTAGATTAGTTTTCAGAGAGCCATTTAAGTGTTTTAGTGGGTTTAGCTTTCAAACACTTGAAACTAAATCTTTATGAATATGAGACACTTTTGAATCATTGATCTTAAGTATAAAAAACATTATGTTATTAACTTGGTTTATTCACAACTATTTATTAAACTCATTACTTGCCACTTGACGATTCCGAAACTCTATTTCAGTA